GTCCGATGGGCTCTCAAGGCCTAGAGATGCCTCCAAGGTGGCCGACGATGGCCCCAGGAGAGGCCCAGGAAGGCCCCAAGACGGCCTCAAGAGCGCCCAAGACCGCCCCAAGAGCAGCCCCCCAAAAAAACCAGAGGCGATGTCTCGGACCCCGAAGGGGGGATAACGAAATCGGCGACCCCCCTCTTTTGAACGATGGCCTTCGAGGCGCTTTCCAAGGCCTCCAAGAGGGCCCCAGGGAAATCCCCAGAGCGTCCCAAGAGGGCCCCAAGAGAGCCCCGAGAGGAGCCCAAACGCTTCCAAGATGGCCCCGAGATGGCCCCACGATGACCCCAAGAGGCCTCCAAGACGCTCCCAAAGTGAAAGGTCGCAAAAATCTTCATATTGATGTCTGTCGTTTTCGTCGTCGTCGTCGTCGTCGTCGTCGTCCCGCGTTTCCCGCGGCTGCCTTGGTCGATTGGTTGCCTGTCGTCCCTCCCTGCTTGCTAGGTCCGCGTGACGTAATACAAGCACCGAAAACCACGACGGGCAACCGCTCACCCAGGACGCTACACATCTCTGATCAGGGCCACTGGTCTGGCGTTGTTCTTTGGCTGGGCCGGTGGGGATATTTTTTTTGGTCGCGGCGGCAGGCGAGAGCGCAAGCGGCGAGTCGTAAGTCCGGGGCGCGGGCCTACTAATTGACAACAGGAGCAGACCAGAGCCGCGCACCTAAACTGCCTGAGCTGCCTAAGCGGCTCCTCAAGCGAGCTGCAAGCTGCACTGAGTGTGGATGCCAGGGCCAAGGGCAGAAAGCGCACACACAGCGTCCATGCAAGGCGGTGGCTCCCAGGGTGGCTGCACAGCCAGGGGTGCACGCATGCAACGAGCTGCAAGGGGTGGCGGACTGCCAGGGTGGCCGGCGGCCAGGGTCTGCAAGCTGCGAGGTGAATTGAATGCAGGGCCGTAGCCGCCCACGGGACTGCAAGAGTACCGGGGAGGCCAGAGCCAGGTGGACCGACCGTCACGAAATGAATTGGATGCCGGTGGGGATACTTGTTTTATTTTTTTTACAGCCGCAGGCGGAAGCGCCAGCGGCAGGCGGTCACGGTCGGGCTGCGGCCGCGACTAGGGGGGCGGGCGCGCGCGGGGCCGCGGTCAGGCGGCAGGCAGCAGCGACCCAGGGCGTCAGCGACAACCGGTGGGGATACGCGAAGCGCCAAGAACTTGGAGGAGGCGGCGGTTCGAACCCCGCCCCCGACGTCCTCCCAATGTGCTCAGTACATGATCGTTTTGCGGCCCAACGGGGTCCCCACCCCTTCCCCGAGGGCAATGTTTGATGACCGCGCGGCCTGGAAACGGCCGCCCGTAGCTGAAAGCGAGGGAAACGCCAGGACTGAAACAGCCAGCCCGCTGGATGCCTCGGGGGGCAAATCACTGCGTACATCTATACATATATATATATATATATATGTGTACACATGAATAAAGCACAACCACTTCCTAAACGTCAAATCCCCCAAAAAGTATAAACAACAAAACGCCAATAATAGATGTAAACACCCGCCGACCATAGAAACAAACACTGCGTAAATATAAATTGCTGGAGGTCCGCGCGAATGCCTTGGCTCGGCGCTTGGCACCCCTCTTCTGGCGAGAAAGGAGCGCGCTGGGGGGCGGCGCGGGAGGCGCCGCCAGGGGGGTCCCAGCGCGAATCCAAGAAGACCGCGCGGACCTCTGATAAGTTAGGCACACGGGCGACGAAGAGAAGCGGGCCCTACGCGAGACGGCATAGCGACCTTACGCCGCGGCTGACGCGGGCCGCCAGAGGAGCACGCTGCGATGGATGTGAGGGCGCTCACGCGCGCCCTCACGCGGGCAGCTTTCGCGCCAGTGTCGGCGCAGACGACTCCGTTTTTGCTTCCGTCGCTCGTGTGGCGTTTGGCCTCCTTCGAGAGAAGCAGCATCGGCTAGAAGAAGAAAAAACGCCCTAACATAAACTGTTGGCGCTGCGCGCGGATTTCTTGGATCTGCGCTGGACCTGGCTCCCAAGCGCGCAGAGCGCGCCAGGAGCGGCGCCAGAGGCGCCGACGGGTGGGCCCAGCGCGGATCCAAGATATCGGCGCGGAGCGCCAAAAATTAATGTTTATGGCGTTTTTGCTTCTTCCAGAGACGCAGCATCGGCAGCGCTCCTTCCCGTGACAGGTGCCTCGGGCCCAAGACTCGAGGATCTTCTGACCAAGGTCAATCCAGACCCGGGTCAATCAGGCCTTGCAGGAACCTGCAAGATCCTGCAGGATCCTGCAGGATCCTGCACCCAAGCCCGGGTCAATGCGACCCTGGCCCTGCAGGATCCTGCAAGATCTGGCGCTCTTGCGGACCCCCGTTAGCATTGACCCTCGCCCCTTGAGCCCCGAAAGAATATTGCACCTCCCGCGCCGGGCGCCGCTCAGTGCTCCTCCTCGCGGGCGGGCTCGCCCCCGGGGCACGACATGCTCCAGGCGCCGTGGCGGCGGGCGCCCTCGCGATCGGGGGGGATCGAGGCTCGAAGGTCGGGGCTCGAAGCATCGAGGGGGGGGTCGAGGCTCGAGGAGCGAGGGCTCGAGCCTGGTGCGAGGAGGAGGAGGAGGAGGAGGAGGAGGAGGAGGGGAAGGAGGAGGAGGAGGAGGAGGGGAAGGAGGAGGAGGAGGAGGAGGAGGGGGAGGAGGAGGGGGAGGAGGAGTAGCGAGGTGGGCTCGCGGCACGAAGGTCAAGTCTTCCATGCAGGCCGGAGCCCCGGGCCCGCGTCTCTCTCTGCCCCTGGGCCGACACTGCATGGGCGTATGTAAGCTTGGGTAGCCACGACGCCCACTCTCAGGGCGATGAGGTCTACACACACACACACACACACACACGCAAACACACACATATATATATATATATGTATAGACATATACAAATACATATATATATATATATGAGAGAGAGATCTATAGATATTATCAGAGAGATCTATAGATATTGTCCACTGCCCCCCAGCCAGGCCAGGCCACGAGCCCCAGCACTGGTGCGCGTGCGCCACGCCCTCCTGGCTCGGCCAGGAGGGCGTGTGCACAGCCAGCTCCCGGATTCGGGGCGGACGCGTGCCCGCCGGTCGGGAGAAGTCGGCAGCGCCGTGGCCCAGATCCACTCCAGGTGGCCCCGTGGCCCACACCAGTCACCAGTAGCGCGGACATCTAGATAGAGGCGAGAGAACTATGCACATACACCGATTCTGGCCAGGCCCATCCTGAGCCCAGGCTCGGTGCATACGCCCTCCCACCTTGGCCAGGAAGGCATATGCACCGATCCTGGGTCGAGGATGGGCCTTGCCAGGATCGGTGCATGTGCATAGTTCTCTTCGCCCGAGGAGGGCGGAAGGCGTCAGGAGTGGCTCGGGTCGCCGGCCGCCCCTGGAAGAGGACGGAGGAGGGGACATCGGGGGCGGGCAAGAGGGGGGCGTCCAAGAGGGGGGGGTGCAGATCATGGCCGGTGGCATGTGCGCGGCCCACGAAATAAGAAGGGGCGCCATGAAATCTGGGAAATATCATGGCCCCCGCCATGATATCCACCCCCCCCTATAGTCATCCCCCCCTCTTTGCCGCCCCCAACTCTTGAGGTAGGAAAGCACCGGAGGCAAACCGGGATCCTGGACTCCAGGGAGGCGTACTCTCAACGACCGGAGTCGAGCAGGGAATCGACCACAGAGTTGATTTGCCCCAAAGTTGATGTGTTCGTTGAACCGATGAAAAGTACGTAGAATGCTCCGTAGGTCTGCGAGCATTCTACAGATGTGTTTGGCTAAGCCGACGAGAAAAATCATGGGATAAATCAAATCTGAAGTCCATCCCCTACTCCAAAGAGGGAGGCGGGAAAGGAAAGGAAAGAGCGAGGAGGAAGGCTCCAGAGGCTCAAAACAAAGACGAGGGGCTCCGAGAACGAGGCTGCGGCCCAACCGGGAGATGCTCATAACGCTTGCCAAGGACAAGCAGCTAACCTGGCCGACGACCAGGTAAATCATGCAGGAACATAGGAGTGGGCCTGTGAAAACCCCTCCCTACATTCTCGCCAGAGCGAGGAGGGAGGAGAGAAGAGGATGGAAAGAGGAGTGCACCGAGTTCGTCCTGCATCCCGCGCTGCCTGACGTCGAGTACCGTTGCCGATAGCGCCTGCCATGTAGTTGACTCGAGAAGCTTGCGAATCCGCAGCCGTAGCGGTTGGCTCAGAGCCGTCGCGACAGTGGGCGGGGGCTCAAATCCATGGAGCGATGGGCATCACGTCATTGTGTGTGCGCCTGCAGTGGCAGGGCAGCTCCACACTGGAAAAACGGTGCGCCTCTGGATGCACTGCGCTCTCGATCCTCCCCCGCGGATTGGAAGCCTTCTCTCTCCCCAGTTCGTGACAGGAGACATGTGGGAAAAGTGGGGTGGGAGGATGAGGAGGGAGGGCAGGGCGACGGAGAGAGAGAGAGAGAGATAGAGAGAGAGAGAGAGAAAAGAGGAGGAGGAGGAGGAGGAGGGAGGAGGGGGGAGGAGGAGGAGGGAGGAGAGGAGGAGGAGGGGGGGGGGAGGGGGACGGAGGGAGGGAGGGCAGATGCAGGAGGAGGAGGAAGAGGGCGACGACGACGCCGGACGCAAAGACAGGCGGGCAGATTCTTCGCGCACACACGCTCCCCTCCAGCGGCGAGGTGGCAGCACCGTCGCGAGAGAGCGAGAGAGACACACACACACACACGCACACACAATACACACACACACACACAACACACGCACATACAACACACAAAAATACACACATACACACACACAAGTGAATCGATCTATATATATATATATATACTAGAACCATCGCGCGCTTCGCGCGCGCTCAAGTTCTAGCTAGCTTCTTGGGGCCTGCTCGGAGCATCCTGGACTGCTTCTTGAAGTCGTCATGGGACCTTCTTGGCATGTCTTCGGGGGCCTCTAAGAAAGAGTTTTGAAGCCTTTTGGGTGCCGTCTTGGGGCCTCTTGGAGCCTCTTTTGGGCTTCTTGGGGGCCTCTTGGGGCCTCTTGGGGGCCTCTTGGGGCCTCTTGGGGGCCTCTTGGGGCCTCTTGGGGGCTTCCTGGGGGCATCTTGGGGCCTCTTGGGGGCATCTTGGGACGGAGAGCTTGAGTTTTCAGTTCGCGTTCCCTCTCTTGGGCCCCTCTTGGGGCCTTCTTGGGACCCTCTTGCGCCGTCTTGGGCGGTTCTGGGGCCGTCTCGGGGCTCTCTCGGGCCGTCTTGGGCCCTCTTGGGGGCCTCTTGGGCCGTCTTGGAGCGGTTTGGGGGGCCTCTTGGGCGGTGCTTTAGCGCCAGGAACACGAAACAATGAAAATCAACGATTTTGCCCCTCTCGGGGCGCTCTTCGGCGGCATCTTAAAGGCCTCTTGGGGCGTCTTGGGGGCCTCCGGTGCAATTTAAACGCATCGTGCGTCGACGGAGACCCCTGGACGTCGTCTTGGGGGTGTCTCGAGACCGCCTGGGGCCGCCGAGATTGCTGTCTGAGGGCTCCCCGAGGCGATTTTACGCCTCCCAGAGGCGGGCCCGGCCCCCCGGAGCCCACATTTGTGGTCGAGGTCCCGGCCCCGGGCCCCCGGACCCGGTGCGCCGTTATATGTATATATATAACACAAACACACACACACACACACACACACGCACGCACGCACGCACGCACGCACGCACGCACGCACGCACGCACGTTTGATTCGGTGGTGCAGAGGGTCCTCGGGCGCGGACGGCAGATGGAAGTGCCAAATGCGATCGAGCACGGTCGAAGGCACAGTGCACAGCCCGTGCACACTGTCGGATGCACTGATGGGCGATGCGAGATAAAACTGCTAATCCAGGCGAACCGTGCAACGGCCAGAAAACCGAGGAGGCAACTCAACTCGAGGTAAACTGAAGCGCAAGCAGTCTGGTGCGAATTGGCACACACGCACGCACGCACGCACACACTCTCACACACACACAGACACACATACACACATACACACACAGACACGGACACACACACACACACACAAACACACACACACACACGCACACACGCACTTTTGTTTTTCCGACGCGACGCTGGGTCACAAACGGCAGAAGACAGATCGCATGCGGGCCGCACTACACAACGATGATCTAGTTTCTGTGGAAGCGTGTAAGCAGTGAACCCCAGAGAGTGTTGAGCATGGACGACCGATGGGCTGCAAAGGCACACACACACACACACACACACACGCACGCACGCACGCACGCACGCACGCCTCCTCCATCCCTTTTCCTGATGAAAGACTCCTCCCAGTCGCACCCCCAGACGTGCTGGTAGGGCGGGCCGGGCGTTTCGCCTGAGATTTCCTCACCACCTGTGATCCTGAAACTTGGGATCGCACCAGCCCTCTGGGCGTCGGGGGTCCAACGATATCTTTCTTTGCCCTTCCAAAACCCTCTTCTCTTCGGGGAGGGGTGCCCTCCCCCATCCCCCTTTCTGGTGCTGTTTTTTTGTGTGAGGTTGGGTCCGCGAGGTGGCAGGGGCTCCTGTGTCGCCCGAGGTGGCTCCAAGAGGGCCTCCGATGCTCCAAGATGGCCTTCACGGCGGCTCAAGATAACCGAAGATGGTTCAAGCTAGCTTCCGACATACAGTCGGGGCGTTGACCTAAGGAACCCTAAATAAGGAACGAGGCACCTTTTTACAACAAGTTGAACTTCGATTTCCGATCGAAAACATAAGGAAAGCCTGAGGCAAGCTGTGAAACACCTAAGGAACACGGAGCCCCTCCCCAACGAAAAGGGTTCCTTCTTCAGGGCTCCGACTGTACCTCAAAGAGGCGCGACGAGGGCCAGAAGACGGTTCCGAGTGCTCTCCCCCTCTCCCCCCCCCAGGACCCCCCCCCAAGACGCCAAAACCCTGCAAGAACAGACAGAGAAGCAGCAACTGTTGCCCTTCTCGTAGGCTAGCTGCCGATGCGCTCCTGAGGCCTCACGATTGCCCCAAGACGGCCCAATAGAGAGCCCCAAACGGGGGCCAGGAGGCGCCCAAACTGTAATAGCGCCCGAGATCGGCCCAAGAGCGCCCCCCGGAGGGCGCCCCAAGATACGATTTTGATGGCCCCACGGGGGGGGGGGAGATCGGACCCCCCCCTCAGTTCATCGATAGCACCAAAGATGGCCTCAAAGATGGCCTCAGAGGCCTCAAAGATAGCACCAAAGATGGCCTCAGATGGCCTCAGAGGCCTCAAAGATGGCCTCAGAGGCCTGGAATCGATAGCACCAAAGATGGCCTCGAGAGGCCCTTCGGGACTCCTAAGAGGGCTCCAGCCGGGCCGCGAAACCACCCCAAGATGGCCCCAAGAGCGCCCCAAAAAGCGTCCCACAAGGGCCCCAAGGGGCGGTTTGCCTCCTTCTCCTCCAACTACTCCCTTCGCCCCCCCGCGGGTCTCAGGGATGGCCCTACTCCCAGAGATCTCTCTGTTCATCCTGGTTGCCCACTTTGTT